TGCTGTGTTGAGCTCTGGCCAGGTGGCTGTGTGTCTGTGAGATGGAATTTGCATACAATGGTATGGAGGAATTTAAATTAATCAGGGAACAAAATCCATCAGAGATGGTTTGCACAGTAAAATGAGCTGTACAACCCATGTAGGTTTACAGCACTTTGGATGTGAACCTAAGCTTTTCCTTTCCAATCGAATGGTCTATTGCTTGTCTTGATAACTCCCTCTTTCAGGCAGACCTCAAGATAGAGACCCACAAGCTGCGCTTATGAAAAGCCCTTTCTCAAACAGAGTCTTTGGACAATGTGATGTTCAGCAGCTTACACTGACAGACCATCATTGATCAGAAATGGCATCAAATGGGAGCAGAGGACCACACAGGGACCTCTGGCTGGAATGGCAGAGAAGGTGAGGGAGCCGATTCTCTTCAATTTATCCCCAAGCATATGCTCTCTTTCTCTGAAACGTGAACTGTAAGTTAGGCCTTGTAATTAGAAAAACTGCTGCCAGCTTTTTCAGTCGCATTCTTATATCATTGAAATGGAGAGTTAAACATGTGCACACAGAGGAACTCAGCACTAGAAGAGGCTTCCCTGTGATCCTTCTGCTTTCCCAAAAGGCACCCTGTTGCCTTATCTGAAAGGCTCTGTGAGCACAGAGCAGTCCTGAACAGGTTTTTCCCACAAACAGCAAGAAGAGAGGATTTAAGTGCTGTGTAAACCTTGCCTACCCCTTCATTTTGACTCATAGCCTTGGGTGAGGTCATTCAAAAGCAAGTTCCAGCCTTACAAAGTGAAGAAAGCAATATTTACCAGTGGGATGAGCAAAAGGTGTAATTAAAGAGCACCTGTCTGGTTGGATTTGGCTTCAAAATGTCTGCAGGAAGTAATGGCAAATGAAACATTTGTAGAAAGGGCTGTCTTAAATTCTGCTGGGAGCAGTGGAGCTGGGTGATGGAGCAGCCCCAGCAGGCCAGGACGGAGCTGTTCTTGGTTTTCTCCTGTCCTCTGAGCTGTCAGTGAGGGAGAAGGGATGAAAAGTCCCTTCAGATCTTTAAACATCTTTCAGCTGGAAAAATTGCTGTTGAGAACGAAGTGTGTACACCTTGCCATACTGCTGAAACACCCCGGCTGAAAACAGGGCTGCATTATGTCAAACACAGCGTGGTGCACATGTAGTCACGAGGGAGGAGGAGGAGGAGGAGGAGGAGGAGGAGGAGGAGGAGAGGAAAGTAGAGAGAGAAAGCCCCTTCCCCTCTCCTCCTCATACAGAAGAGACAGTGCTGCAAGCAGGCGAGAGGCATGAGGGCTAAGGGTGGGAAAGGGAGATGGAGGAAGCAGGGGGTTGCTGAAAAAGCCCACTGCCACCTCAGTGCCCTGTCCCCTGCCACGTTGCCCCTCCAGCCTCTGCCACCCACTTGTCTGCCCCCCTCCTGCCGGCTACAATCTCATTAGTATGGTTTTCAAAGAAATTCAAAACCAAAACACAATGACAAAGTGGGAGTTTCTGTGCCAAGCGAACCTGAAAGGTTAGTTTACTCTTTAATGAAATTCCTGCTTCAAAGTCTCCGTCTCTTTTTCACTGGGGAGCAGCGCTTTCTTTAAGCAATGTTTGGAGGACACCAGTCTGCAAGGGTAATCATCCTCGCCTCTGGCAGGAAGAGCTCGTGCACTAGCATTTCTGAAAAGGCTCTCTTTGTGAATAATTGAATTTGTCTCTGGAGTTCAAGATTTCTTTTTCCATGGGACTGACTACAGCTCTGCTTCTTCCTTAGGTGCAGCTTACTGTAATTGAAGCAGAAGAATTGTATTGCGGCCGAGGGTTTTGTGAGCATGACGCATAATAGGGTTGATTGCCACGGAAAGAGTCATTTGTAGTGTTCAAAATGCCTCCTCCGGTGGTGAACAGATCTGCAGAAAATAATTAGAGGACCCCCCACTGCCACCCCCACTCCCACCCAAGGGGAAAAAGGTTAATGTCACACAAGGCAGCAGAGGTGTCCTTGCACAGGGGGCAGAGTCCCGCGCTGCAGTGCACTGCCGGGGCCCCATCCTGGGCGTTGCTCACAGCCCATCGGTTCCTGCCACTGCTGCCACGGCCTGGGACGCAGGGGAGGACCAGCCAGACCAGCTGCTTGCCCAGCTCAAAAGAGAACATAGTGGTTCGCATTTCCCCTGACAATGTGTGTGTCTTGCCTGGGCAGAGCTTCTTTTCCTTTAGGATCTCCTAGCCTTGCAGTGGTTTCTGGGTCTCTCTGGAAAGGGACGTGTAGCATGATGGAAAAACCTGTGCATCCCGACTCTGAGAAAAAACATCCCTACAGCTGCTCCACCAAGTAAAAGCCCTTTACAGATATGTCCTCCCTTCCGTGACCAATGAGGTCCCTTGTCCAGGGCATGTGTCAGTCTCCTCTCATCCCTGCCACCCTTAACCTGGTGTGTAACATCCCACCATGGCACCTACCAAGCTGCTGGTGAGTGGTTTTTCAGGAAAGAGGTGGCAAGGGAGGAACCTGTTGTAATAACTTGCACTGCTGTGAGCGGGACCTCGTGTCCAGCTCCAGGGAAGAGATGGCTCCCTGCCAGTAGGCTGAGATAAGCGGCGTGTCTCAGAAGTGTTTTTTGATGACGTATGCAGAGGCAGGGCTTAACTGTTCATGCACCTAAATGTCAGCAGTGGGGTGAATGACTATTTTTTCAGGCTTTGGGCTTAAGGTAGAAACTGGGGCAAAACACAGCTCTGAAGTGAACAAAAACCCATTGAGCTGGGAGGTTTCTTTCTTGTCTGTCTTTCATCACTAAGCGCAGCAACAACACTGGGTGGTTGCATTCAGCCAACACAATGCAACGTGGCAGCAGTATATTTTTAGGATATTATTTTGGGGAGAGAAACAAATTCTAAGGGCAAGACATAGCGATATAGTAACTCAAACAAGCTGCTCGGGCATTTCTGTGGCTATTGGATATACCACACAGCACCTGAGCTGTCTTGTTGAATTGTGATGGATGTTTCAGATCAGTAAAGAGGTTCGAGTTATTTTTTTTTCCCCTGTGTTACACAAGATACATTCCCTCATGGTACAAAGCTTGCATGAACTGATCAGCAGGAGAATCTAAGGCAATTGCACTCATGAATGAAAGCCCAAATTCTAGATTGAAGACTGATTTTCTTGAACTTTAGTCTTTGCAGATGATTTCCAGGTCCTTTGTGGTCTCTGCTCTGAACCAGAAATGAGAATGTATACCTTTAATATTTTTACTCCTTTCTGTGGCTGTCAATATCAATGGCTTGAATATTCTGTTCATCCTCAGCTTCAGGACTTCTTGATCCTCTGAGACAGATACTTCCTTGTTGGGCTTCTGAGTGACAAGCAGATCTTTCATCCCCAGAGAGTATTCCCTTAGCAGTAACCCAGGCATCCGGTGTGTTTACCACGACTGCTTTTAGTGCATTTCCTCAGACAGGGGAGCAAGGCAAGCAAAAAAGGAGCCATGCAGCAGCACTTATTCTCCAAGGCATGACTGGAGGCCTGACTGTAGCCCGGCCAGCACTGCCAGGTGTTCCAGCTGGAGATGCTAGCCTGCCTAAATGCGCTACTAAAAGATTGCACATGCACAAATTAGGGAAGTGGTGTAGATGTTGTTTGCATCTGGTAGTGCATAAAATAGGGAAATGACCAGTGAGGTCTGTCTTTTTTTTACCTTGAGATCAGTGCCCCTCGCTGCAGCTATGGTCAGCAAAAGTCAATAATTGGGGAGGAAATGGGAAATAGTTGGGAAGAAAATCACAGGTGGTGGCTGGCAGTTTCTGTAGGCCTTTCCTGAGCAGCAGAGCGGGGTGCCATAAAAGAAAGGGGCCAACAAAGGCACCCAGGCCCCCGAGAAATGCTTTCAGGAGAGAAATGTCAGGACCTGGGTCACTGAAAGACAGACCAACCACCTGAGGAAGACTGCTGCTGGTGGAGAGAGGTGTCCGTTTAAGGGATTGTGTCATCCAGGCCACTTGCTTTCTCTGCTCTGGTGGATGGGCTGTAATCTTCTCTCCCCAGAGTCAAAGGGTAGGTTGTCCTTGAGCTCCCAGGGAGGGCGATAACAGGGCAATCACACTCCTGCCCAGCTGGGCTTCCAAACACTCATCCCATCTTGGGAAGAGCCAGCAGGTATCGTATGCTCATGTTGTGTATGTGAGGTGTCCTGTCCTGCTCTTTTAGTTTTGGGGAAAGAAGTGTGCTAAGCAAGAACTCAAATCTGTGGTCTTTCTGAAAAGTGGCAAGCAGCAGGCCCAATTTGCAGAAGACCTGCCTGCTATGACATGCTTTGCTGAGAGGTGTATGCTTAGTTTATGGAAATGTAGTATGCTTCAGGGAGAGTTCAGGAAGATTTACAGGTGACCTGCAATAAAGATGGGTCATGGGACTGGCTGGAGCCATGTGCCTACACTGAAGTTACCAGCTGAACAGAGTAAGGTACAGGGGAGTTAACCACACTAAGTGATGTTGTCACATGTGATGCTGTAGTTCTTCATCCTGCAGAAAATAATTAATGGTCTCCTGCTCAGAAAAAAAATAATTTAAAAAGTTAATCTGGAAAACTCTCAATTCACTCTAGTTTAATTTAGGGGGATCAGTTCTGTTACCTTGCTGTTTTCTTAAAAGACAGTGAGTATAGAGAGTCTGGAAATAGGGTATTTGAGCTATTTTGGAATAACATGTGAAGGAAATGAAGCGGGGTGGGGGTGGGGGGGTAGTAGTCAGATTTTTTGTATGCTATGTGCCAGATATTCAACTTTAGATATCTGACAGGTTTTCAAGTGAGTTTAACCCAGTAAACAGCTTACTCTGAGTTTATCTAAAAAGTTAAAGAAAAAAAAAGAAGTCTTGAACATGGGCTTGCAGTATAGGTAGTGTTTTCAACATAAAGGTTTCATAAGATGCACTAATTTTATCGCTCTGGCAGGAAACTGAGGCTTTCACATTTAGTGAAGCATTTCTTTGAAGTCACGCTAAAATGATGATCAAGACTGCATTGCACATCTGCCTGTCTGCACAGGGCAGACCATTTCGACTTCCTTTTCCGAGACACTGCGGGGAGCAGGCCAAGAGAGCGAGATATTTACCAAAACTTCGTCAAGTGAAAATGGAAAAAAGGTGGCTCTTCTCCCTCTTTTGTTTGCTCTCGGTGCCCAGCGTTGCAGGTAAGCCTATCAGCAGGACACCATGACTCGCTTACAGCAGAGGGTGGTGAGGGGCAGGGTGGCACGTGCAGACGGAGGTTAGTGTGTCTCACTAGGGCAAGCTGTAGCTACCGGTAACAATTTTCTGTTTCCTGACAACTTTCTAATAAGCCTAGTTATAATGTGCAGCTAGTAAGGTTTGTGCTGACTGGCAGATTAGTTTATTCAAAATGCCTAACCTGTTTTCACTAGAATAATCACTGAGATGAACTCACTTGTATTTAGAGCAACGTGTGCTTGTCTGCAATGGGCAAAAAGGAAAACCGCTTTCAAAGAGCAAAAATATCCCTCTCTCTTTCACATACATGCATACCTGTGAAGAGTTGAAAAAGGATAAATTGTACAGCTGCAACCCCTTAAATAGATTCTTCCTTTCCTCTTCCCCACCCAGCCCTATGTGCTTCATTAGAGGCTTGAGGACCAAGCTTGTCATTGGGAGTAAAACATTCAGAAAAGTTGAGTAAGGAGAACTGCCTCCCCATCAGAGGGAGTTTAAACCAAAAATGATCTGGAAAAAAAAAAAAAAAAACCCAACAAGAAAAAGCCTGGTGCTTGTGACCCCCTCTCTCCCCTGCAACAGGCTGACCATGCTGAATGCAGGAATACTTATTATCAACTAGGAAGAATTTTGTAGGATACGCCTTTTTCCAGTTAAGAAAGGAAAAAGTTCATGTATTTGACTGGCAGTGAAAGATGCATCTCATCACTGAGGCAAACTGGACTTTAAAAGAAAAGAAAATATTTCATATGTATATTCATTGAAAATAAAAGCTCTCAAATGCAAAGAAAGAACTAGAGGCCTCAAGACATGTACTTGCAGGAAAGTAATACTATTTAGGGGAAAATAGGACTGTTGCTTCCCCCGCCGAGGATGAAATCCTCACTGAAATAATTCAAAGGTGAAAGTGGAGATCAGACATCTAAATGCCTGGGAGTTACTCTATTAAATTTCAAATGGAGCACAAATATAGGCTAATGGACAACATTTGATTTGGGAAAATAAATTTATTATACAATAAGCCTAATTATATTAAGATGTTAACAAAAAGTTAAGAACACTTTTGCATAAAAGTTCAGTTAAAATAACCTGAAGTGCTAGGCTACTAAGAAAAACACAAATTAGAATCTTGTTTCTACATATGTAATTTTTTCATCTTAATATAAAATATTCAAGTAATTCTTGGTAGGTATTCTTTACATGGTCCTTTGACCTAATACAGCATCAATATGAATATGAGAGATAACTTGCTAGGTGTCCCTTGCCCACTAGTCTGATCACAAGATTGCTAATTGCTTTTTATTTAACTTTTACTGATGCAAAACTTGCAGTGAAATCAGTGAGCATTTGCTATAAAAAGCTCCTTGGACTGACAAAAATAGCTTTCAGTAATTTTTCTCACAGCACTCATCGCTCAGGCTTATTTTTATTTATCCTCTTACGTCATCCCATCCCTTGGAAGTCAATTAAAATATGAACGAAGCATGCACAGCAGTAAAGCACAGAGATTAACATTGGCCGTGGCCATTCAGTACCTTTGCTCTCCATGCACCTAGTTTCTATGTGTTCATATCACACTTCGGTGGTTAGGTACCAAATCTCAGCCAGCTCTGCGGGGATGTGGGACTGCGCCCTTGTTCTTCTTCCCTGTCAAACCAGAGCTGCGGGTGTGCTGGGTCCCTGTCTCGCTCCCGGCTGAGCTGGCAGAGCGTGGGGCACGCTGTCCCCCCTGCAGGCACCATCAAGGCTGCCTGGCCCCTGGCAGGGCATCTCCTGGCTCAGGCGCCCCGGACCCCCATACCACACAGCAGAGCAGATGTCAAAGCAAAGAAATTGGTACCCACTTTTTTCAAGTAAAGCAGGTGAGCAGTGTGCACTTGCTGCCACGGGCAGTCAGCAGCGCGGCTGGTGGGACAGCGGGGCACGTTCCCAAAGCAAATTTACAGTGACGTTTTGATACACAGGGAGGATAAAATCCAATGAAGATGGGGGGAGACAGACCGTAACCAAGAACATTTGCACAGACTCATTTTTTCTGGGGACCCGCATGCCCTTTTGAAAAAGGTCCTTTTCGTGTATGGTTCTGTGGGTGTGATGGATTACTTGTCTCACTGCGACTCCCCTATCCATAAATTCTTCATCTCCTTGAGTTGTCAGTGCCCTGCATACAGGGGTTTGGGGACTGCAAGCCTCTTGTTCATACGAGGGAGAAAGGGAGAGAAATCAATTTTACTACAGCAGCAGCAAAACCAAGTAGTACAGGCTCAGGTTGAAAGACCCTTCATTTCACCGATCCATTACTGCTTTATATGGCACACTAAGGACTGCCAACATGTTTTACGAAATTAATCGAGGAAGAAACCATACCTACTGGGGCAGCTCACTCTGACACTGAAACAGATGCTTGTTTAGGCCATGCAGGAGCTGTTTAATAATGTGGAGGTAAAAGAGCAGCTTTATCTGTTGAAGCAGCAAAGGCAATGGCAGTGGACAGGGGGAACAGTGCGGGGCAGAATTAGTGAGCAGGGATAACTAATTCATTCTTGCAAAAAGAGCTGGGGGACAAGTGGGCCCAGCTTCTGCATTATTTATATCACTTGAAAGATTTCCGTTTTCACGGAGGCCCTCCAAGTTCCCATTTCTCTCCCACGAGCGCAATGGGAGCTTCCCACCCTCCTCATACAAGTGTCTGCTCTCCTGGTTCTCTCTCCACATTTTCTATTGGTAGAAATCTGCTGTAAAACTCCTTGCTGGAAAGCCTGTTGTCACAGTTGTAGGGTCTTCATGGTTATAGAATCATAGAATGGTTAGAGTTGGAAGGGACCTTAAAGATCATCCAGTTCCAACCCCCCTGCCATGGGCAGGGACACCTCCCACTAGACCACGTTGCTCAAAGCCCCATCCAGCCTGGCCTTGAACACCTCCAGGGATGGGCATCCAACTCTTCTCTGGGCAACATGTTCCAGTGCCTCACCTCCCTCAGAGTAAAGAATTTCTTCCTAATATCTAGTCTAAATCTACCCTCTTTCAGTTTAAAAGCGTTATCCCTCGTCCTATCGCTACTCTCCCTGATAAAGAGTCCCTCCCCATCTTTCCTGGTTGTCTGTGGCTAAGGCACCAAAGCATGTCAAAGACGGCTTGGGAGAAAGCTTTGCTTAAACATTACTTGCACTGACAATGGTCCCATTTTTGTTTTTAAGGCCAGCCTGAAGTCTTTACACAAACAGAAGTGGTCCACGCTTTCCCGGGTACTGACGTGAGCCTGGCATGCACCTTTCCAAAACCACAGACCACCCACATAATACAGATGCAGTGGTCTAAGACCGATGACACCCAGCTTACCAGAATAGCCGTTCATCACCCCATTTATGGCACCCATTACTTCGTGTTTCCTGAGGCTTCTTACAACTTTTCAGTGTCCTTCAGCACAAGGAAGTGCTGTGACTGGGATGCTACAGAGGATTTGTGTTCTTCTGATCCAAAAATCACATCTGAGTGTAATGAATGGGCTCTGCATCTGAAAAATGTTACCATCTCCCTTAGTGGGCAGTACGAGTGCAGTTTTGCTACTTACCCATATGGGACAAAGGCTGCAAAAATTCAACTTATTGTCAAGGCAGAAGGTAAGTGATTATGAATGAGATGTTGCTTTTTCATAGCAGGGGTGAGGGGAAGGTTGGTGGAATATCAGGATAGATGACCGTTTCTTGGTTGATGATGGTGACTTGTTTGGGTTTTGCAATGGTGCCACTGAATGCCCCTATTTAGTTCCCTATTTACCAGGCACTCTTTAGCTGTTGTTATCCAGCCTCTGATTAGGAAACCTTATTTATTTGGAGGAATATGAAGTTACATAGCAAGGAAAAAAGATGGTGAGATGGACAGTTTTCACGTTTTCATTTTGGAGAAACATGATGTAAAGGTGACTGGGCAAGCGGCTCAGGATACGGTGGGACTGAGGATGCTGCATCTCCAAACCCCACCGTGCTGCTGCTGTGGGCATGCAGCACTGGGCATCCGAAAGAGAAAACACCCTTGTATGGACGAGGCTGAGGGCTGGCATCTGCAGGGTGTGCTGGGTAGTTAGCTCAATGGAGGGATGTGTGTTCCCACTGTCAAAAACAAACTGGAGCAAAGCGGGGGATTGCTTTGGACTATCACAGGAACGGAGACTTGGCTGCTTCTGTCAGCCAAAAGGAAGCTGGAAAGCAGTGTGACTGCTGCTGGTAAGTAAGACTCAGGGGGAGAGTGTGAACTCCAGGGAGGATATTTAAATTTTCCTGGCAAAGGAACAAATAGGTTTAAATAGGATGTGAACGGATTTGACTACAAATTAAACAACGGTGGCAACCATTAGTGCAGCAACTTTGGGAACAGCTGTTTAATGCCAGCAGCGAGGGCAAAAGTCCAAACTGCTGTGAAGATGGAGCTGGGCGGGGATGTTGGGCGAGCTTGTTGTTGTGCACATGGGGAACTGGATTTGGTGACCCCAGGTTCCTGTTAACAAGCCAAGAAGGATTAAAGCAAATGCAACAAACCTGGCACGGTTTCAGTTCAGAGCTGCAAGGCCAGTGTGCTCACCCTGCTTGTGCCCAGGGCTGCAGATGCAGCACATGTTCAAGGGTTAGAAGCAGCATGGGCGCAGGTGACACAAGGGGTAGCAGAAGGCAGCAGAGCACTGGGGCAGCAGCATCCATGGGCACAGTGCTCCCACCGCGTCTTTAGCCTGCATCCTGAGGCCAGACCAGTGGCAGGGGTGACACTGGTCCTCATGTTGGTTCACATTGGTTCTGCAGCAGAAGGAGCCTTGACTCCATGCAATCAGGGACAGGGCACCACTCCTCAGCAGCGACTTTCCTCTGACGAAGGCTGGTAACTCTGGAGAAACAAACTCCGTGTCCTTGGCCAGCTTCATATGCAGACACGTTTAACCCGAGCTGCCGCCTCACTCCCTGATGGCCCCTGCGTGGTAGTTGCTCCAAGCATTTTGGTGTTATTATCTCAGTCACATCTCAGGGGCGACCCAGCAGCACCTTCCTGCCCTGATGAACTTGTGAAGGAAAAATTAGATCCAGCATCTCTGCATGTCCCATAGAGCATGGGTGTGCTTAAACAGTATATGCTGGATAATTGTGCTAAGGACAAAGCTGCCACTTTACCTGCTGTACAGGGGTGTGCCGCGTAGTCTCCCTTTTGGGAATATTGCTGCGCTTCACAGGGCAGAGGGGTTGGATGAGGCGGAGAGGTACAAACAGTGCTGGTAACCGTGTGAAGCCCTCTCGTGCTTCTGTTCTTCGTGGGATTTTTCTGTGTCTTTTTTGATATAGCAATAGTGCCAATCTGTTGCTCTGTTTCCCTTGCCGGTGCCGTTGTTTGATACTAGCACGTTCAATGCTGTTATTGCTGTCTACATGTTAAACATGGGCAGCCCTTGTTCATATCAGCATCATTGTGGTTTTTTTCAGCAACTGCATGATGTAGCAAGCTGTGCTATTGATAACTGCTTGCTAGAGAGAACTAAAAAGTTCAGTTTGCAACATACCTCTTGCAGATTTGTATTTTAAGGTAACCAGATCTTTTGCAATGAACCACTTCCACTCCAAAGGCAGCCTTAATCCAGCTTATGAGCAGGGTGGAGAAAGGTACTGGTTATTAATAAAGTATGGTTCCCAACTACATCAAAGTGAAGTGAATCCAGATGGATTCAACTTGCAGATACTGCAAAAAGCCCTCAGAGCAGCAGGCTTACATAGGACTGACAATCACAGAGGACCTTAGCCAACAGGCTGTTGGCAGAGACGGGAATCAAAGATGAGGAGAAAATAAGCATCTGTGAGAAGAGGCAGAGGCTGTTTGCAGACTGAGCTCCTGGGCGACTACTCATCTCTGTACTTCTCATATGCTGCATGGCACTTTTGCATGGTAGCTTGTCCCAGCAAAGGCTTCTGTGCAGGTGTTTGGTTTTTTTTTTCCTGGGGAAGCTAGAGATTAGTGTCCTTTGCCCTTTCTTTATCCTTTCTGCACTATCCAGCCCCTTTTGGGCTTGTGGAATCCGTGTCCCACTGTGATAGGTGGCTCCTCAGTTGCTCTGCTCTGGTGTAGAGAGGAGATGGGCTGCCTCTGCCGCTGGGTGTCCTGGGCACCACTCTGGGCACTGCATTTCTTCACATCCCTGTGGCACAGGCTGCGTGCTGGCACTGTCACTCCATGCTTGGGAGCCAGGCATAAAGGAAGTTACAGTCGCCAGAAAGCCCCCACTGCCAAATAAGCTAACACTACAGGACTGCTAGATATTCTCCCCCCCCCCCAAGATAAAAATTGAGTAAAATATATATCCATTCTATCTCAACACGTAAGTCAGAGCTACCAGGACAGCAAAGTTCAAGAGTTTCCCCCCGGTGTGGGCTTGTGGCTGCCTACACTGGGATGAGGGTCAGAGAGATCAGGGCTCACTAAGGCACTCGTAGCATCTTCCGGCCATCACCACTGCTCTTCCTGTCTAAATGCACACATGCACATAGACCCAATGTTTGGACCACAGCTGTGCTCTGTTTGGTGCATCGCTCTGCCCTTCCACACACGGACAGGAGCCCTGGACTGGGAATGGGTAGGGTAGGAGATGCTGAAATGCTTTTTTAAATAGACAAAAGAGTGGCAAGATCTCCACTTCTGGTAGTAGGCAGGTTGAAGAATAACAAAAGGAGGACTTACACTGAAAAACAGAGTTAATCTTAACCTGCCCGACATGCTGAACACCATGCTTAGCGAAAAGACAGTCCGCGGATATCTTCAGAGAAAAGGAAATACAGGTGCACTAAATTGATGTGAAGGTTTATTGCCATGGAAAAACTTTGTAAAGGAAAAATTGAAGCTTCAAATTATTTTCAGCTCCAAAAGGAGACATCTTGACCCTGCAGTTAAGCAAAGGTTTTTATGAATTGCCCAAAAACTCAGGTAAAGCCAGGAATTAGAGTCATGAAACCACATCTAGAGTCAGATGCAGGGCTTTCACTTAACAAATGTGTCTATGGGTAATGGTTGAAAATTACAGTTCCCTTCTAATCAAAAAAGTGCCTGTTCCTTGAACAGAGGACTAGACAGCATTGTTTTTTAAAGCACGATTAACACCATGTTTCTGATTTTCTTTCTTGGCCTTTTGTTGTTGTTGGTGGTGTTGTTGCAATGACAAAAGAGGAGCAGCACTACGTGAAGGAAGTGCAGTTAAACCAGACTTTAGAAATTCCATGCCTTGAGGACGTGACCTCAGAAAATTTGTTCAATTATCCTTTGAAATGGCTAGTGGTAAGTATTTTTCATCTCAGGTATAAATTTCAGAAGGAACTACAGGGTACTTTTGCAGATTGAAATAGAAATGTTATACTTTACTGTGTCCTGCATAATCTGCTAAACAAAAGGTATCAGTGGGGCTGGACTGTGATAATAAAGCAAAAAAGTACAAACATGGGTTTGCAACATAGACACCACAAACAATAGCTGTTAAAGAAACAAGGAGGGAAAATTCCATCTTAATTGCTTTTAACTTTCCAGGAGTACATGTAGAGCAGCTCCGTGGAAAGTAAGTGTCAAAGAACTTAGGAAATGTCTCAGAACTAAAATATTCCTTGCGTTGGATTTCTCAGGGATTTTTGCTGTAGTGAAGCTTTAGTATCTCTGAAAAATACACAGTTACCGCGTAGGGTAGTGAGATATCAGGCTGCTTTGAAATAGAAAGAAAAATGGGCTGACTGTGATGTTTTTGTTTTTGTTAACCTCTGTGTCACAGAGGCAGGCTGAAGACATGCAAACCTGGTTATCTAGCTAACCACATAAAAACTCTTTTTAAGCAATTTGCTGTGAGATATAAAGCTCGTTATATTTTTGTATTGCATCTCACTTTCCGGATAAATATTTGTATGCATGTTTTAATGTAACCTTTTAGCATTAATTTCGGTATGTAGAGATAAGTATCAGCCAACAGTGTCCTTGAGCTTTGCCTGTTAATTTCTATCTGTTGTCACTGAGGAGTTGTAACTGTTGAGTGTTTTCTTAGAGGTGATTTTCAAATATTTTAGGTTTTTTAGTCATTTGTCCCAGCTTGTTATCTATTTACATCTCCCCTTTGCAGTGCATTCTTAATATTAAAATTCTTAAAATTTTCATAGGGAACATCTTTGTCCTTACTACGTTTAAGTGTTGCTAGTTCACTCTACAAAGCAGCAGAGGAAGGGGGAAAAAAACCCCCAGAGGTCAGCGCAGTGACATATGTGGGTCGCCATAAGTCATTCAGAGTATAGCTTGCAAATGTGTACTGAGGCACAGATGTCCAGGATGTGCCGCCTCCACCTCTATCTAAGGGTGGCTGGCACACAGGCATAAAGATGTCTTTTAGCCATTATTATCAGGTTCTTGCTATTTAAAATCTAAAAGAGCAAGGATTTTCTTGGAATTTCAGTCATATTTTATATGTATGGGATGTATAACTTAAAGATTGCTGCAGCGAGGAAGCTGCTCTGCTGCCCTCTCTGCAAGCTATGGAGATTAGGACTCACAAGACACAGCTATTTACTCCGTAGTTTATTGGTAAGATGATGACCACTATTGGTTTTGAAGTTCTGGGAGAGAATGCATTTGGAAAAAAATAGGTGTTGCAAATGTTAAACTTACCACTATGCGATGCTAGGGGTGCGAGGGAAGATTTTCATAGCGGGAGTAGAGCTGGTTTACAAAAATATTTGGGGGGCGGAGGGGTCTGGTCTTCACACATTGTGAAGTGCAGGTTTCTCTTTTTGCAGGGGGAAAATGGCAAGAAAGAGGAACTTGTGACCAAGGAGCCCTCCTGTCCTGCAGTGTACAGGAGCAGCAGTGCACTGTGCAGGGAAA